GCAAGATTTCTATGAACTCAAAGTATCAGGGGAGTAACAGCTTTTGGGAGAGAATCTTTGTGTTTTAAGAGTTCCGTTTCACGCTGCAGTGGAAAGGAAATAATTGTAGCCAGCAGTGTAAAACAACAATTTAAAGTAGCATTGGCAGTGGACTAAATTAACTATGCTGTTTTTTTTTTTTGGCCTTTCACCAATCAGTTGAGTCATGCATGTAATTAATATTTACAAGCAAAGCTGATAACACTGATAATCAGTTTTCAGATTCAGAGATTAAATAGTCCCAGCAATTGTAATACAGATGAATGATACCTGGAAACGTGTTTTTCACTTGGACAGTAAGCAACTACCTGCTCAGCTAACAGGGAACCTTCTCAGAACTTAAGCTAATGTTCTGTCAAAAATTATCTCAATATTATGAACAAATGTTCTACCAGTAACATTAATACAACATTTGTTCAAAGCCATCTGGTCTCAAAATGTAAGCACTTTATTTAAACGCTCTTTTATTCGGAAACATCTTATTTTAACATTTTTTAAAGATGAATGATGAGTATTTACTGAAATGCTGAAATGTTGGTTAGATTTCAAATGTAATTGGTTCACAAAAAAGTCAATATTTGCATCCTCTTTAATATATGAGACTTTATAACTGGTTTGTACATTTTGGCTTGTGTTTAAAGCACCCTGTTTGTTTTTGGGTGGCTGAACTTTGCATGAAGTGTGCATGAAGACATTAGACGTTTAGATTACTAGCCTAGTGTTAATTTTTAGTCTGTTATATATTTGAGTTGTGAGATGTACTTGGTTCGTTATGTTTCAGGGCCCCGGGATAGAGTTCCTGAGCCATTTATCTGTTTAAGCCTACTGCTTTTCTTAAGCAATTAATCACCTAAAGCACAGGTTTGTGTGGTTTCATTCTCATAATGAAACATCAAGTCTGTTTTGCAGTTCTCAGCTCCAGTGTCTATTTACAGCATTCTAAGTAGTTTATCAGGTTTGAAATGTAAAGTCACCCAGTTAAAGGGGTCATATGATGCTTTTTTAAAGATCATTATTTTGTGTATTTGGTGTAACAGAATATGTTGACATGCTTTAATGTTCAAAAAACACATTATTTTTTAAATACTGTACATTATTGTAAGTCCTCTATGCCCCGCCTCTCTCAAACGCTTCGTTTTTTACAAAGTCCCTCCTTCCGACAAGCGCAGTCTGCTCTGATTGGCCAGCTGACCCAGTGCATTGTGATTGGCCGAACACTGCAAGCACTCGTCGGAAATGTAACGCCCCTTACCATAATCGTGAGCTTCATCTTTCAAAATAAATGTAAAGACAGTAAATAATGTCATTAGTTTTACCATCAGTTCAAGCCCGAAAGGGGAACAGACACAGTAATGATGCAGTACACAAGCCGCGGTTAAGACCGCTGACTCCACTGTGATGTGACGCTGTCTCTCTCTCTCGCTCTTGCTCTCACACACACACGCGCGCGCACGCACACACACACACACACACACACAATGCGCAAAACTCTGCATTTGAACAGTCAATAGCAAATACTTAAACTAATAACAAAACAGTAGCTGATTCAGAAGCGCCAGATTGTCATAGCAAAGTCAGAATTACCTCCTCTCCTAGGTTCACGAAACGGTCGTCCATAAAATGCATTGCTGTTCTGTTGTAAGTAATCTTAAAGATTCCTAAATGCATCTACTTTCGGAAGGCCAAATAAAGTGCTTTTGCTTTTGCACTGAAACACACAGCGTCTCCCTGACATGCTGCTTCAACACTAACTGCGGTTACTGAAACCACGCCTTGTTTCTTTGCGTGCACCTTTGGGCGCATTATGCAAATCTTCCCACATAGTGACCTAGATATGTGGGGGCGTGTTAGAATGAGCAGTTTTAGGGGGGCGTGGCAGAGTCTTAACTTTGATAAAGAATATCTCTTTGGTTTTGAGACTTTAGTCTTTGCAACTTCAGGGATCTTATCTATGCACAATCAGCTTGTAACACTCCAAAGAGAAAGGAAAAGTTGAAATCGCATCATATGACCCCTTTAAATGGTGTGAGGTTCTTAAAGATTGTAGTTTTAGGTTTATATGTGATCAGTCTGATAAGAAAATGGATTTATTTGTGGGATTCATTTTTTTCTCACCTCAGACATCAGGCTCAAATTGTAATTCATGTTTCCAAGAATGAGAATAGGAAACAAATAATTTCTTGAATTGTGTTGTCACAGGGTATTTGCTGTCTCATCTAAAACCTACATGTCCTTGCATGTTTTTCTGAAACTAGGGCATCTGCAATTTAAGATGATGGGACGAAAGTGTCCTTATCTATTTCTGAAACTACTAATAAGACACTTTCCAAAGATTAAGGGTGTGTAAAAACGTTCAAACTTCACTTTTTGAAATGCTTAGTGTGAATGAATTTAAATGGATAATTCACCCCAAAATTTTAAACAACTTGAAAGAGAGTGAATAACAGAATTTTCAATTTTGGGAGAACTAAATGTTAGGTGCTGACATTTCTGTTCTTCATTGAGCCTTTAAATGAAACTCAGTAAGCTGATCCAAGCATGTCTATTAGGTTGTGAGATTGTATCAGTTCACCTGAACTGTAGTGATTTGATTCCAGGAATTTTGCTGACAAATAATTGTTATTAATAACTGTATCTACAGCTGTTAGCAATATGATGCAAGAACACGTTGATTTTCAAATCTATTTGGTAAGATGTGATTGCAAAAGTGTATTGTAATGCTGCATTACTCTTTAGAGTGAACTGTGCTGCTATTCAATATGTGCAACAAAAGGGACAGGTTTTTCGGATCGGATGTTTTAGGTATTTGGATTATGAAAAATGGACACAAGATGCGCTTTGAATCATAATCGATTTATGCTAGATAAAAGGATCATCAGGTTTCATAATGAAACTATTTATGTTAAGTTAGGGAAATTTCAGACTTTTCAACTCTATTCTATATATTCAATAACTTCCCTAAATTTTCGATGTGCAAGGTTGGTTATTGCACTCATAAAACTTTTATCAGCGATGAAGGCCTCAGGGTTTTCAGTAAAAGTGTTTTTGCACTCAAATTTTTAATGTGAATCTGAGTTAATTTTACATTTTTGGTTCATTAAGTTGAACTGAAATTGGTTTTCTAGACGCAATGTGCATTTTTAGCATATTATGCGGTTGCTAGGTGGTTGCAAGGCTTTTGTGGCAGTTTTAGCATGTTGCAATGTGGTTGCTAGAGTGTTGTGTGCATTTTGCAGTATGTAAGATAGTTACTAGGGTGTTCTGAGTGTTTTAGCATGTTGCTAGGTAGTTATTATGGTGGTTTTGATGTGAATCTGAGTTCAGTTGACATTTTTGGTTCATAAATTTATCAGAAAGCGGTTTTCCGAATGCAGGTCCAAATTCAAGTTTGAGCCAGGCAACCAAATCACTATCATTGGTAAAGGTAGAAGGATGGAGAGGTGTAGAGGTATTTTTTAAGATGCTCACCTCATTGAAAGTTGATGAATTTTATTACCTTTCCATCTTCTTACTTCCTCACAAGGTTACCGTGATTTTTGAGCCTACAGCGAGAAGCTGCATGTATTATTTACACCTATGTGACACCTGATGCTGAACGCTATCCTGCACCGTAGCTGTTTGTGTGGAGCTTTGAGAAATTCACATGTGTAGGTACCAGACGCCTCGCCCTCTTTAATTCACCTGTTGGAAATTCGAACTTTGAATTTTGCATCATCTTAAAGGGGTCATATGACGTTGCTAAAAAATAACATTATTTTGTGTATATGGTGTAATGAAATGTGTTTATGCCGTTTAAGGTTCAAAAAACACATTATTTTCCACATACTGTACATTATTGTTTCTCCTCTATGCCCCGCCTTTCTGAAACGCGTCGATTTTTACAAAGCTCATCGGTCTAAAAAGCGAGGTGTGCTCTGATTGGCCAGCTATCCAGTGCGTTGTGATTGGCCCGAATTCCTGAAGCGTGTGACTGAAATGTTACGTCCCTTACCATACTGTGATGCCGTGTCCCGGCGCGACGAGACAAAACCAATAAAACCCATTATAAACGAGGCATTTGTTGCATCCAGTGGGGACATAATTACTGATTATAATTACTTATACTGTCTTTTTACGCGTTGCATTGCGCCACGTAAACATAAAACCATGTCTGCATTTGTGATCGGAGAGACGACAAACAAAAAGCGCTACTCTACTCTGCTCAAAACTCGCGTCTGAATCGTCAGTGGCAAATCCTTTAAACATGATAACGTACTTACAAGCTGTGGGTCAGCATTATTTGTCAGCATCATAGACTGTATAGGGTCAGCATGCGTGCCGAAGGGGAAACAGGGGAACTGAATTCACCGGAACACCGGCATTGTAGACTACTCTCCCTGGAAACAGTCCTCATCCTCCGTAAAATGCATTGCACACATCCGAATATTTGGTTTGAACTGTTCTGGAACAGTGTTGTAAATACAACTTAACCACTGATTTCTAGTTGTGCCCTCTTTTGGAAGACCAAACAAAGTAGTTTCACTTTCACAATGAAACACACGGCGGCAACAATACTACAGCGAGAATCAAAGTTACGCCTTCTTTCTTTGCGTGAACATTTGGGCGGTGTTATGCAAATCTTCCCACACAGTGACGTAGACATGTGGGGGCGTGTTTAAACGAGGCATTTTAGGAGGGCGTGGACAAGTCTTAACTTTTATAAAGAATATCTCTTTGGGTTTGAAACTTTAGTCTTTGCAACTTTAGGGATTTTATCTATTCACAAACAGCTTGTAACACTCCAAAGAGAAAGGAAAACTTGAAATCGCATCATATGACCCCTTTAATCTCTAGATACGGATTGGCTCCCTCCTTCCGTTTGAATGTGAAGAAAAATGTGTAACAATGACAATTTTGTTGCTATTTTACTGACTAAAATATAAGTCTGATCATTTAAAAATCTGTCATATCCTGTTTTGCAGGAAGTGCAGGCACTCCGGTGGTCTTCAATCAGAACGGAGATGCGCCAGGGCGATATGACATCTTCCAGTATCAGATTACCAACAAATCGACAGCTGAGTACAAAGTGATCGGCCAGTGGACAAACAAACTGCATCTTAATGTGAGTGGAAAGCATTTTCTGGTCTTCATGACGAAATCCATCCATGCATTCATGCATCCATCCAGAGTATAACAAAGTATGCATGCTCGAATCAGATACATTCAAGCATAAATGTTTGTAGGAAATCTTATCTTTGCTGATGATGCATGTGACATGAATACTCTTGGGGCTTCATTAGTCAACGGGATGGAAGATAAGCTTGTAATGTTTTATGCCTGGCTGCGAAACAAAATTAATGGAGCCAGAAACGAGCCGTGTTTTCATTGCCAAAAGCTCTCGCAGCACTGTGGAGATTGAAGCTGTAGTTTTCTGATACGTGACGGAGAATCACAGCTCCTCTGGGCTTTGTGTCTGTGCAGGTGAGTGGGAGGGGAAGTGGTCACTTAGCAGAACTGTGATCCAGCCCCCTGTAGTTCTTTAAATCTCGCTTCTTAACTCAGGTATCAAACCCTTCACTTAAGCGCTTAAACAGATCAGCGCTGGATGTGTTACTGAGTGCTGGTGATTTGCATGCAGCTCATTAAGGGCGACTCACTCCGGAAAAACGACTTTCGTTAGCTTGAAAGGATTATTCAAGAACAAGGTTAACGTTTCATTTTCGGAAAATAATTTTTACAATCAATACACACTGTTTTGCAATTTTGCTGTTTACTGAAAGAGGCATGCAGGTCACTTTAAAGGGGTCTGTTTACTTACTGAAACTACTAATAAATAGTGGAGTCAAAATTAGCGCGTTAACGCAGACGATAAATTTTTTCAGTTTAACGCGTTAAAAATATTTAACGCAATTAATGCAGGGGCGGGGCTAGGGTTGGCCACCCCACTCATAACTGCTGCTTCTGTCACTTTTTCTCTTGAGAAGAAGTGCATTTATTCAGTCGCAGAACGACACAGATACGCGCTCCACTTAATTTCAGTGCCAGGTGCGAGTCAAGCGAGCGCGGAAACGGTACTGTGCTCGCAGTGCATGCTCTTCAATTTAAAAGTATATTTAAAAACTTTAATGTTAGTTGGGATTAATCGCGATTAATTTCAGAAAAATGTGTGATTAATTTGTTATTTTTTTTTATCTATTGACAGCACTACTAATAAAACATTCAATATGTAAATTGCAGAAGCAGTTATATTCTTTCCACTCAGATGTAAAAGATTGAGAGTGTGTAAAATGAAATGCAATTAAATAAATACGAGTGGTGTGTCTTGGCAATTTCTAGATGTTATGGGTGTTTTAAGCATGTTGTAGCCTGGTTGCTAGGGTGTCCTGGGCCTTTTTAACATGTTGCAGTGCAGTTGCCAGGGTGTTATATTATTATGCAGTTGCTAGATGTTTGTTCTGGGTGTTGCTGGGGGCTTGCGAGAGTGGTCTGGGTGTTTTTATTAGTGTGTTGCTATGTAGTTACTAGGGTGTTCTGGGCATTTTGACATGTTGCCATGGAGTTTCTAAGCGATTGCTAAGATTCTCTGGGCAGTTTTAAGTGTTGTGTGCTAGGTGGTTGCTAGGTGATGTTTCTGGGTAGGGCTGTGCAAATTCAATTATCTAACCATTAAAATTTCATTTCGTTTACAAAACAAGTAGAATATGGATCAATCGAATGCGATTTTCATGCGCATCTCGTCAGAAAAGCCGGTTCTGTGATTAGTAGTAAATCTCCAGCACGTGCGCTCAGATGGAGCGGCATTTACTACACAGAGCCGTAGTTCATTGACAAGCTATGCAAAATCGCGTTCAAAATCACAGGTGATTCATTGCCGATTTTGAACGCGATATTGCGTAGCTTATCAGTGATCTATGGCTCTGTGTAGTAAATGTAGTAAAAACCCTTCTCACTCCCCATTACTGTGTCTTCAGGATGAATAAAACCAAATTAAACTGCTTAATTGTGAATGGTCAGTGTGGCTTTTGTTTCAGACAGAATGGGAAGAATCAAATAAAGGGATTTGGTCTTTCAATTATTCTTAAATACCCTTCATACCCTTTTATGTGATAAGTCAACTTCTGTTCATTTGCAAATGTTGTCTTTTTTAATTTTAATAGGTCCCTTATTTTTTTGCTTCTCTAATTAAAGCCAATCTGTTTTTGCCAGGCATAATTTGTCTCAAGCATGAATAATTCATTCACGGCCATCTCTTTGCAGCAGGCGACATAAGTATAGAGCTGTCCTTATTTGTCCTATGGATTGGTCTGGCAAAATAGTTTTTTACGTGCAATTAAATTTCTTGCATAATACATTGCAGTCACTTCTTAAACTCGGGTTTGTCGTTATTTATTTCATCTCAAATGCCTCTGGCACAAGTTTGTCCCAAAATATATCTGCCATCAAAGTTGCACCCGGGAGCCAAACTGAAGCTGCTCTTAAAAGAGCAGCGTTGGCTTCTTATTTTCCACAGCTTTCAGGCGCTAAGGGGTAATAAAGTGATTTCTTCTGCTGACAGAAGTATGACACAACAAATATGACACAACCTACATCCCATGTGGGTAATGAGACTTGCTTTGAATGCACAGTTTCAAATGTAACAGTAAGCCTCTGGTCTTCATCTCTGACAGGGCTTTTTTCATAATGCTTTGCAAGTGGATGCCATACGCTAGCGGAAAGGCGACCTTTTTAGTGTGTTGCTAGTGTGTTCTGGGTGGTTGCAAATAAAGAGAGCTTAGTCCCGAATCTCTAAAACTTTGTTGCCTACTTAACTGGTGAAAATCATAAGTAAGATTGCTTAGAAAAGTAAATGTACATCTCTCCTCGACAAGTCACACAGTTTCAGGTATTTGATTGCTATGAGTAATATTGATGTGTGTAAATTGTTAGCGCTGATTCTGACAGCATTTGAACCTCAAAAATGTTTGAAAAAAAGCACAAGAGGATCAACGCCTGCTTCTACTGTTCGCGCATGTAGTGTTAATAAAGAGAGAACGAGAGAGAGAGGCAAACGCAGGTCTACGCAGAAACCAAATGATAAAGATGCTCCGAATACAACAAGATGCTGTCCAGTGCCAAGTTTTGGAAACACAGTCTTTGAGATTATTTAACTTTATTTTTAATGATTTAAGATCCAGACCACGTCAGTAAGAACTTGGTCCTTTGTTCACTTTATTTTACCGCGGATTCATTTACAAACAAGGCACAATTCAACTTGGGATTTTCAGAAATATTGAAACTAAAAGACGATGCTGTGCCGACTATATTGGATCCGACAATCATGTCACACCACATAAGTGTGAGTAACTGTTTTCATTACGTGGTCACTATTGTTTTGTCTGTTATTACAGTTCGTTTGATATGTGCTGAGTATTTATGCGTTTCTGACCTAAATCACAGCAGCGTCCGTCTATGAGGAATGTATGCTGTCAAACATACACAACTATTAGCCAATCATAGCAGTAGGCATTTACTTCCGAGTCTACAGTCCGCCAAGTACGCACTTCTTGGCGTGTTCACCCCACCGTGTAAATAGAGTTTACATATACTTGCTCCGCAAACATGGAATACAGCGATAGATAGACGCTGAAGTCCAGGGTTCTCCATCCCCCAGTTGTTAAATGATGTCATTGTCAGTTAGCTTACATTACTTCAGAGTTCTCAGTGGCGATGCGAATGCAACAGGAAAAAAGGTCCTAGGGGAAAATTAAGTTCTCGGCAGACCACCCTGGGAGTTCCTATAACTACCCAGTACGTAAACCCTTAAGGCGATAGTGGCACGGAGCCCAAACTCCATCAGGTGACAGAAAAGGAAGTAAAGAAAAAAAACCTTGGGAGAAACCATGCTCAGTTGGAGGAAAAGTTCTCCACTGGTCTAAGTGAACAAACACTATGTGATATTGACATGGGTCCCAGTTGGCCTCAGTAATATAACATTACACCCCTGGTCTCTGTATTTGACAGGATTTTTTTGTTATCCTTTTCAGGTGGATGCCATGCGCTGGCGGACTGGCGACCCTACGCTTCCAGTCTCGGTGTGTAGTGTGCCTTGCCAGATGGGTGAAAGGAAGAAGATCGTAAAGGGTGTACCTTGTTGCTGGCATTGTGAGCGATGCGAAGGCTACCACTTCCAAGCCAGTGTATTCAGTTGTGAGTTGTGTCCATACGAGCAGCGCCCAGACCGTAATCGCACCGGTTGCATCCCCATTCCAATCATCAAACTCGAATGGCACTCTGCTTGGGCAGCCATACCAGTGTTTGTTGCAGTTCTTGGAATCCTGGCTACAAGTTTTGTGGTGGTCACTTTCGTCCGCTACAATGACACACCAATTGTCCGCGCATCCGGCCGAGAGATGAGCTACGTGCTTCTGACTGGGATTTTTTTGTGCTACGCCATCACCTTCTTGATGATCGCAACACCAAGTTTGGCCATCTGCTCTTTCCGAAGGGTGTTCCTGGGTTTGGGCATGTGCTTCAGCTATGCTGCTCTCCTAACAAAGACCAACCGCATCCACCGCATCTTTGAGCAAGGCAAGAAGTCGGTGGCTGCACCACGCTTCATCAGCCCTGCTTCTCAGCTGGTCATCACCTTCAGCCTGATCTCGGTGCAGCTTCTCGGTGTGTTTGTGTGGTTTGCCGTCGATCCGCCGCACACAGTGGTGGACTACGGTGAGCAGCGTACATCCAACCCGGAGAAGGCTCGTGGGGTTCTCAAGTGTGACATCTCAGACCTGTCACTCATCTGTTCGCTGGGCTACAGCATCCTTTTGATGGTAACATGCACTGTTTATGCCATCAAGACCCGCGGCGTGCCAGAGACCTTCAACGAGGCCAAGCCAATTGGATTTACTATGTACACTACCTGCATCATTTGGCTAGCTTTTATACCTATCTTCTTTGGCACCGCACAATCGGCAGAAAGGGTAAGTGAGATTTACGAAACCTGTAGCTAAATGCACTGGTATTCTCAATGTCTATGCAAGTAATTGCTTTTTATATTGAATACAGCAAGTGTATCTTCGCTCTTCTCTGGCTTCTGGTAGGAATTAGCATAAGTGACAGCATTTCACTTATGGAATTATTTTATTATTTTTTTTATGTACATACATTTATGTACATAGGGGGTGTGATTATTTAAATTATTTTATATCCCTTTTTTTGTATTAATAATTGCACTAAATTAACATGTTAAACTGAAGAGAAAAAAAAGCACAAACAAAAAGTTTTCTCCAAAGAATTTAAGTATAACTTTTCTTTACAGCTTGGTCATTGGCTAGATACCATGCATTCCTGTTTGCATTAGGAATAGGATGTGGTGCTGCACTGTGAATGTTTGTTTATGTGCATGTGAGCTATAGATGGCAGAATATTGCTGTGGGCTACAGATAATAACATCACCTGCTGGTTACCCTTTCACCTGACCCAGCAGGTGAAAACCTCCAGAACATTTCACATGTTAAAAGGCTAACCTAAAAAAGCCAAAGCCAAGGTTTCACGTACTCTCAGACTGATGGATATAGCTTCAGGTGCACTGTAGGATACAGACAAAAGAGTCAGAGGTGATCAGGTGATCAGATGGGTGGCAATATTGATCAGACAGTGTACAACTCAGGAAGCATCTCTGAAATATCTGAAGCTTGAGTGAGCAGGACTTGCATGAGTCTGGATAGTTAGATATGAAGGAAAATCCAGTCATTATTTACTCACCCTCATGTTTATCCAAACCTGTATGCTGTTATTCCACTGAAAAAATAATTGCATAAGTTTGGAACAACATGTCGTGTAAACAATGACACAGTATTCATCTCTGGACGAATTAATTATTTAAAATAGAGGCAAATGTGGTTTTGAAGCCCTAGAAGTATAATATCTATGCAAACAAGTTGTTCAGTAGTCTTTTGAATGCTAAAACTCTAGTGTTTGATTTCCTTTCACAGTGGTATACGATAAAAGCTCATTACCACATTGCTCTTTAGTCACATTAGCCTCTCACTGTGACTGCTACGCATTGCGCTAGCCAAGAGAGACAATTATGGATATACCAATTATTCCTTACACTAACAAGCTTATTTATATTCTAATTTAACACTAGAACTGTTGGATAGATGGTGTTCTATTAACACAGACCCCAACCCATCGCATTACTCAGGAAAGCAATGACATGAATCATTTGATAAGAAAAAAGGCATCTTATTGAAAAGAATGAGCAGTTCTCATTGTCACGAATAACAAAACATGGCCTTAAGTCTGCATTTATTGAACTATTGTCTGATTGGCAACCACACCAAGCGAAAGGACTTCATAATTGGTTTGTAATGAAAAAATTACTAGCCTTGAATTAATATCATTACAAAGAGTCAATGTTGTATCAACTGCAGCATTTGTGAAATTAACCACAGTAGAAGTAGTTCAAATCTCACCGCCTATAAAATATGCTTCCATTATCAAGAATGTGCTTTGGTTTATGCTTCAAAAATCAGTTTGTGTGGATTTTGATTGCAGCAACTATTACCTCTCCATTTCACACTAACATAAAGATATCAAGGCTGATATGATCTACCTTCCTGCATTTGAGAATGGTATCACCCCAAAAACCAATACGTGCACTTTGACATTTCCAATGCAGAGACTCTGCAGAATCATAAAGAGTCAATAAAGTGCTGCATGAACAGCGGGCAATGTGCTCACGGCTCCTCAGGAAATCAATGCCTTCCAAAGGTGACTGGTTAAGATAATCACTCCACATATCTGTAGAATCAAATTACGGGTCTTTCATAAATCACTGGCAGATAATTTTATTGGGTTTTGTTAAGTTCACTGTGTGAACCGATCTCTATTCGGGAACCCCATGTGTTTCTCATATAATTGTAATGCATGCTAAATTGATTTAAGTTTGGGATATTTCGATTTGTTTGAAGTGAAGGTTATTTGATTTTGAAGTTATTGAAGCAAATGAGCTACAATTTACATTAACACATAGAGATGCAACTTTTCCCATACTGGGTTGTTTTTTGTCATTGCAAATGAATTGTTTGATTTGTTTACAGAGACTATGTAAGTTTGTTTACAGAGTTTTATTTATTTATTAAGTCAAATTGATCTAAGCTTGGGTTATTTGGATTTTTTTAAGTCAAGTTTACTTTGTATTGATGAATTTGAAGCCTCTGTAGAACAACATGATGGCTGTTAGCCAAAATGTACATTACTAACAGTCATGGAGGTAATTGTAGATATTTTTTAAGGTTGCTTTTGCATGTTACCACAGCATGTACAGTAAACGCACGTCTCAAAGCGGATCAAGTGGTGTGAAATACATTGATATGCACAGTAATATTACAAAATGATCTGAAACATGGCAAAAGTTCTTAGTAAGCGCACTTCTGTTATGATTCATCATATGACCTGATCTACATTCAGAAGCCCAATGTGTTTCTCATATAATGAAAATGCATAATACATTTATTTAAGCTTGGGCTATTTAGATTTTTCCAAGGTCAAGTTTATTGTATTAATTGAAGTGAGTGAGTCTCTCTAGAACCATATAATGGCTGTTAGCCAAAATTTACATTATTAGCAGTAATGGAGATGTCTTTTTCCCCTCATCCAGCGTTGCTTGTTTGTAATTGTAAATGATTTGTTTGAGGTCGGCTCTGCATGCTGCCACAGCGTGTAAATGCACGTTTCAAGCAGATCAGTGGGTGAAATACATTGATATGCACAGTAATATTACAACATTATCTGAAACGTGGCAAAGTTCTTAGTAACCGCGCTTCTGTTATGGTAATCCTCTCGTGGGTGTAAGTATATTCTCGCTGGAGCGTGAAATTCTACTATTTTTTTCTGTTATGAATGACGTTATGCAGATTTAAGTTTGCATAAGGAATATTTTGCCTGAAATAAGACAAGCAACTTGCACCTCCAGCGCAGTAATTTCAATTACTCTATCCCAGACACCGTACCTACACTGGATCTTTATGTGACATTTCAATGTTTTTGTTTCACTTTAGTGTCATTCCTTGAAGTTAATTCCTTGAAGGCCAGCTTAGTTTTTAATTAGTTCTGCCACCTTTGTTCTTCAAGCTCTTGTGAATCAAAGACTAAGTGTTTGGTGGTGTTTTATTCATAAAACGATTTCATTTACTATCTATTGTCCATATTTAACGCCATATTTGTCATTTCGGTGACATAGGAAATAATATTCAGCTTTTTTAAGTCCTGTAAAAAGAAATTCCACCTTATTTGAACCCTTGAAATATGCTAGCTAAGGCTGTTGCTTCTTATTTGTAATATGTCATATCTGTTCGGGACACACACAGACCTCAATCACGCTGTTTCTCCTGCTGTGCAGGATCATGCTGTTCAGAGTGGAATTCGTATTACCTCAGAATAGATAAGCTTTAGTTACATTTGCCCTGCTAATATCATCATACATGAAGGCGAACCTGCCTCAAAAGGCACTGGTCATAATTCATCCTCCCCGGCAGCTTCTCAGTAGATGATATTCCTGCCGGTCGAGAGAGTGACCCCCCAAGTCCTTAGTGTGCCACGCGCTGTGCTATTAATCATGGGAAATCTGTGTGAGCAAGGGAAAATCACTTCTGCTGCCATGACTTAACGTGCTAAAACTAATGCAGCTGAGAGAAGACTCCATACAGAAGAGGAATAGAAGCTTAGCTCAAAGTAGATTCACAACAGCAAACAATAAGCCGAGGATTAGGTCAGCTGCAGTCATACAAACAACACATTAGTTTGAAAAGTGATTGGCTCTGCTTGTATGAATGATTTCTTTATTGCATTTGCTTGCTTTTTCTTTCACAGTCACTAGAAATGTTCTACAGTGCACCACCAAAATGTCTTTCAGTGGCCATTTTTGCAGTGTACAATATGGAAGTAGATATGCACAATATGGAAGTAGATATGCTGCATATACAGTGGGTGCGGAAAGTATTCAGACCCCCTTAAATTTTTCACTCTTTGTTATATTGCAGCCATTTGCTAAAATCATTGAAGTTAATTTTTTTCCTCATTAATGTACACACAGCACCCCATATTGACAGAAAAACACAGAATTGTTGACATTTTTGCAGATTTATTAAAAAAGAAAAACTGAAATATCACATGGTCCTAAGTATTCAGACCCTTTGCACAGTATTTAGTAGAAGTACCTTTTTGATCTAATACAGCCATGAGTCTTTTTGGGAAAGATGCAACAAGTTTTTCACACCTGGATTTGGGGATCCTCTGCCATTCCTCCTTGCAGATCCTCTCCAGTTCTGTCAGGTTGGATGGTAAACGTTGGTGGACAGCCATTTTTAGGTCTCTCCAGAGATGTTCAATTGGGTTTAAGTCAGGGCTCTGGCTGGGCCATTCAAGAACAACCACAGAGTTGTTGTGAAGCCACTCCTTCATTATTTTAGCTGTGTGCTTAAGGTCATTGTCTTGTTGGAAGGTAAACCTTCAGCCCAGTCGGAGGTCCTGAGCACTCTGGAGAAGGATATCCCTGTACTTGGCCGCATTCATCTTTCCCTCAATTGCAACCAGTCGTCCTGTCCCTGCAGCTGAAAAACACCCCCGAGGATCCCCAAATCCAGGTGTGAAAAACTTGTTGCATCTTTCCCAAAAAGACTCATGGCTGTATTAGATCAAAAGGGTGCTTCTACTAAATACTGAGCAAAGGGTCTGAATACTTAGGACCATGTGATATTTCAGTTTTTCTTTTTTAATAAATCTGCAAAAATGTCAACAATTCTGTGTTTTTCTGTCAATATGGGGTGCTGTGTGTACATTGAGGAAAAAAAATTAACTTCAATGATTTTAGCAAATGGCTGCAATATAACAAAGAGTGAAAAATTTAAGGGGGTCTGAATACTTTACCCGTACCCACTGTAACAAAGAGTGAAAAATTTAAGGGGGTCTGAATACT